ATCAATTTCAGACCGCAGAAGTTGGTAAAAAATCTTCAATTTTTCATCTCTGGCGTTAGTGATTGGTGTGTAAATTTTAATAATAGTTGTATTAACTGGTCTTCCTTGAAGGTGTATGGATATTATCCTATCATTGACAGCATTGTACTTCAAGATAGATCTTGAAATTTTTTTTATGATGATGAACGTGACACCATTCCTCTTCAATTTGTCATTCCCAGCATAGTAGTCCATATGACCGTCTGATTCAAAATGGCCAGTATCAGTCCATTTTGGATCACTAATGCCTAGGATATCGATCTTTACGCATTCCATTTCATTTTTGATGACTTCCAAATTTTCTTGATTCATACTTTGTACATTCCATGTTCCAATTATTAATGGATGTTTGCAGCTGTTTCTTCTCATTTTGAGTCGTGCCACATCAACAAATGAAGGTCCCGAAAGCTTGACTCCATCCACATCATTAAGGTCGACTCTACTTTGAGGAGGTAGCTATTCTCCAGTCGTAATTTGAGTGCCTTCCGACCTGAGGGGCTCATCTTCTGGCACTATATCAGATAATGATTCACTGGAATCCATAAGGTTTTCACTGGCCGATTTTTTCAGAAGTAGATCGCCAGGTCCTTCTTCCTAGTCTGTCATAGTCTAGAAGCTCTGCTGAAATCTGTCCAACATGGGTGAATCTGCTGGTATTTGAAATACTGGTGGCATAGCTTCCAGCATCACAGCAACATGCAAGCCACCAACAGTACAACAAACTGGAAGACGACTGGCTAGCAAGTACTGTGGCTAGCATACCAGAGGTTAGGAGTTACACCCTGAAAAGATTCAGGGGCATGCCACATCAATAAAATATTTTAGGGATCCAATGGCATACTAAGACATCCCCTCTAAATTAAAGGGCAAGTAATTGCAGCTTCTACCACTTAGCCAACCGCTAAGTGTATTTATTAAGATTATACATTTGGGAACCAGTCAGTGGAAAGACCTAGGTATTCCCCTTTCTTCAGTGTACGGTTAGCAATTAAATGGTCATCACTACTCTGAATGCTTGCCATGATGTTACAATGTCCTTCCTCATGGGACCTGGCCTTCCCTTCAGTCTATGGGGCTGGGCGTGAGAATTGGCAGATACAGAAACTGTGCAAGAAATCAAGACTTCAGCTTTCTGAGCAAACATTCTTGATCTATTCTTATTACTATATATATGTATTTATATATACACACACACAGCATACATAGACAACAGCCTCTATGGAGCTCCTCAACAATGCTGGTGTCCCCTTTATCACTTTGGTGAATGGAAAATTCTGTTCCCTCCTAAGGAGTTACAGTCACCTGATGAGTTTTCTGGTCTTATAGATTTATTCAAGTATGTCCACTTAACTGAGCCTTTTGAGTCCTTCCTTCTCAGTCTGCCACAGCAGTTTTGGGATCTTAATTTCATGTGGGCCATCATTTTTTCCAAACTTCCAGCAGTCTGTTACACTTACCTCCTGAGGGATCTGCCTGGATGTTAAATACCAGGAGAGTGTTCACATACTGGCAAACTCTCCTCTACGTACATTCATATTCTGCTCTTCCTGATCCAGTACCCTCAGGATCCACTCCCAGGCTGTATTTTATGACTTCCTGTATTTAAATTTGAAAGAACAGCCAAAACTAAACTATGTGATTAGGGTTGTATGTTTAGGTAGAAACTAGAATTCTAATCAAGGGATTGACTTTCATAAAAGTTGAAACAGTGATCAGCTCTGGGAAGACGAGAGACTGTACTGATTGGGAGGGGGCACAAGGGGAGTGCCTTTTAATGCGTTAGCAATATTCTCCTTCTCTTGTGGTTGGTTCTGGGTGTTTGCTTTGTGGTAATTGAGCTGTACTTTTGAGAGAATTCACTGAGGTGTGCTTTTATTTCACAATAAAAAAGATGAACAAACAAACAAATATAGTGGTCCTGAGATGGTAACAACCTCACAAATCTCATAGCAGCAAAGGTGAATCCATTCCTGGAGGAAACCACTTTCAACCCAGGTCTCAAAGTATTTTGAGATAGTGTACTGTTACATGGGCTCATGGCAAGGAAAAAAAAGTTCACAAAACACACAAGGGAACAATTCATTATGCAGGACCCAGACTTCGGCCCTAGACCCACACGGAGTTGGGATACTGGAATTGTCGTACTGTTGTCATCAGCTCTGAACAGAATGAAACACTGCCTCGTTCTGTGCCATCTTCTTGATCGCTGGTATGTTTTCATGAGTCCATTATTGTGGCTACCGTGTCAAACCATCTCACTGAGGGTTTCCCTCATTTTTGCTGACCCTCTACTTTACCAAACATGTCTTCTTCTAGCGATTGGTCTTTCCTGATAATGTGTCCAAAGTAAGGACACCAAAGTCTCGCCATCCTTGCTTCTTACACAAAATATAAAATCAACAAATCTCTGGCAAGACTGATTTTAAAAAAAGGAAAGTCACAAATTAATATTAGGAATGACGAAAGATACATAATGACAGATGCTGCAAAGATTTAATTAACTTACAAGAGATTACTAAGAACACTTTATGCCAGAAACTTGTAAAACCAAACCACTGAGAGCTTACTATGAGCTAGACACTTTGGATCCAGCAGTAATTAAAACAAAAACTGTCCTCCTATGGCTTACATTTTAGTTGTAGGAGTCAAAGAAATACATGTCAGGTGGTGCTAACCAGAAACCAAACCTGTTGCCGTCGAGTCGATTCTGACTCACAGTGACCCTATAGGACAGAGTAGAACTGCCCCATAGGGTTTCCAAGGAGAGGCTGGTGGATTCAAACTGCCAACCTTTTGGTTAGCAGCCAAGCTCTTAACCACTGCGCCACCAGGGCTCCAAAAACTTTTCAATGTAGATGAAACGTAAAAATTCCCAGGAACTTGTAACTTACCAAAACTGACTATAAAACAAGGATAGTTCTAAAACATTAAAGAAACAGAATCAGTATTTTAAAAAATCTTTCCTTAATGAAAACACAGACTCAGATTTTACTGCTGAGTCCTACTAAACAATCAGGCAATAAATGATTCAAGTCAAGAGTATAGAAAGAAAACACTCCTTAATTTCATTTGAAGGCATTAGCCTTACCTTGAAACCAAAACCAGACAAGGGGTCTAAGAACATTATAGGCCAATGTAACTCATGAACATGGATTTATAAAAATCTACCCTAGACCAAATAGTGGCAAAAAGAAAAAAAAAAAAAGCAATTAAGACAAAACATCTTGACCACGGTGGATTCATCTAAGAAATGCAAGGATGTTGTATGTTAGAAAATCACAGAAGCTAATTCACCACATTAACTGATTAAAGGAGAAAAATCTGTCGATGTCTCAATAGGAGAAAAAGAAAGGGTAAGATCAGACACCCATCTGTGACCAAATAAACCAGAAATAAAAAGAAACCTAAAACAGCACTGTTGGTAGGAAAACGAACCTCCTTTACTTGTTAGCTACCGAGAATCTACAGCAGATGTCCTATTTCATGATGAAATACTGAAACCCCAAAATGCCCACCATTTCTCCTTCACACTGCACCAGAGATTGTATAAGTTCAGTGAGAAAAGAAAAAGCGACAGGAATTAGAACATTTATTTGCAGATGATGTGCTTGTGAATATAGAAAACCCGAAAGAATGAAGATTTTTATTAGAATGGGAGACTTTGGCAAGCATGCTCAATAAAAATTAACGTGAACAAATCAATTGCATTTCTACTTGGTAACATATGTAACTATTAAAATGTAGGTAAGACATCGTTTTAAAAATAAAAAACCTATCTATATGGGATCAATTTGACAATAGCAACTTGAAATATTAATAGGAACCGTATGGGGCAGTGCCTTTATGTTCATGGTGGAGGAACCACTCAGAAAAGGGAGAGAATGGTTGCACAACTCTAAGAATGTAATCAATGTCAGCGAACTCTGTGTGTAGAAATTGTTGATGTATATTCTCAACAACAAAATAATTAAAAACAAAAACCCTACCCGCTCCCCTCCGCAGGCAGCCTTGGGCCTCCCTCCTCTTGCAGCACCACTGATGGAGACACAGCTCCGTGCACTCACGGGCCCTCCTGGCTTCCCTGGGCTCCTCCAGGACAGAGGCCTCATCTGGCTCCTGGATCAGGGGTGAAGACATTGGCCAAGCCCTGGGTAGCCCCCCAGGAAGTGTCTCGTCAACCAACCCCCTCAGTTACCAGAGGCTGGCTGGCCCTACTGTGTGCCAACGAAAGGTCCCTTACAGTACCTGTCAGGCTCTGGGCGTGGGGTCTCTGCTCAGGATCCTCCCTCGCCTCTTTTCCCGGAGGCCTTTTCTTCAGCTTCCAGGATGGCAGCTTCAACTTCCAGCCTCAGGCTCTCCTGTAATCCAGCGATCCGGGGGGCCTGCCTGGCTGTCTCTGGCACTAACATATGCTCTGTAAGGATGGCTGGTTTCCTCACATCTGAGCCAAGCGCAGGGCCAGGAGCATAACCTCACAGTGAGTGTTGGTGTGGAGGCATTCGTGCCTCTGGGGTCTGCTCCAAGAGAAGGTAGGCCTCTGAGGGTTAGTGCTGTCATTTGCCCCGAGGCCCAGGCACCCAGCAGATCGCTGGCTGGACAGGCGTGGAGAGGGCAGAAGCTATCTGGCACAGCACACACCCCTGGGCCATGGCTCCCTATGCAAGGTGGGCTCTGTGGTCAGGAGGTGTGAGGGGCATGGCAGAGTTCGGGCTGCTCTCCTGCGCGGCCGGGCACCAGCCCCTTGCTCTCAGGGATCTTAGGGCCTGGACTGTGGGCCCTGTTCTAAGAACACCTCATGCATTGGCTTCTGGGCCGGTAGCCAGATGAGCGGACTCCCCCCGCCCCGCACCGAGGCAAAATACACTAAAGGCAAAGTGGGTGAGAACCACACACCTCTGCGAAGGGGGGGAAATTGGTTCCAAAGCTAAAATGAATACAACACACTTGGTTCAGATGAATGGTTTATTTCCATCTTTAAGATGAGCAGGAGTCCAAAGCCAACTGCCCTACGCGGTTACAGTTCAGATGGTGAAAAAGGAACGTGACCTATGTACACTGAGGAAGGGGAAGGGGCTCGTTTTCGCGTTAACCTTTTCCTATTTTGCAGTATTCAAACAGGAAACTAAGCACATTTTCCCCTAATTTAGGACAGAAGCATAAACTGAAAACATTCTGAAATGGGTGTCAGCACAGGTATTAAGTCAATTGGTCGAATGGGTTCCTCAAATCTGGGTATCGTTGAAAGATGAGAAAAAAGCATTTACATGAAGTATGGAAGGAACTTAACTGCAACCACGTCCAGTCTGAGGGCAGACACTGTCCAGATGCTCCTACCCTCCTTAACGCCAAGTAGAAAATTATTACTTTTATTCACACTGGAAGTGAGCCGAACAGCTGAAGAACGAAGAATACACCTATTCACTTGAGAGGGACACTCCTTCACCCCAGGTAAAGTGAATTCTGTGCCGAGTCCTGCTCCTTCAGAAGGGTCGGCTGAAGGTCAGTTATTGCTAGCAAAGCCGGAGCGGCCCTTCCCCCACCAGGAAGGCTTCTGGTTTGGCTTGAGGTCCTCTGGGGAGGAGGGCACAAGGGGGAGGCAGGCTGGCACCACAAGGCCTCTGCACTCTGCCCCCCAGGGCAGCTCAGTCACCCTGGAGAGCTCAGAGGGTTTTCTCTGGGCCCCCGGGGAGGCGATGCCGCTGTGCTCCACCAGCCAAACCCACGGAGCAGTCAAGAGCCCAGGCAGCCAGCAGAGCCGCTCCTGACACAAACTGTCAAGTGGCGGGTGTGTGGGTGAGAAGCCAAGTTGGTGGCTCCGCTGAGGTCACGCGGGGCGAAGTTCTTTAAAACAAGGGGCAGAAGTAACTTGGGCAACGGTGTGGAGGCGAGCGGCTGATAAGGCCATGGTTACTGCTACCACCTCCCAGAGCCTGTGCTCGGGCGAACAGATGCTACACCACGGGAACTGAGGCCAGAGGACATGTGGTGAGCACAGGATGGATTTTATCAGAAAAGAGAGGACCCGGACTGTGGGCCCACCTGCTGACCCTGCATATCCTGTGCCAGGTGGAGACCTGTGGGGCATGGGTAAGGTTCCTGAGAACAGTTGGTGAACAGAGATGGGGCAGGGATGGCACTGCTCCAAGGCATTGTCGGGCCTCTGAGGGGACTAACAGTGCTACATCTCCTGGGCTGCTGAGAAGTAAAGAACAGCTTTATTGCACATTTTTAGTCATAGGAAATGGGGGATTGCCCTGCAGAGGTTCTCTGGATTTGCAGAGATCACCGCCCATCCAAGCTAAGGTGCAGGTGGAACCACAGCTGCCCCCGACTCCCCAGGAAGGAAAGAGTCCGGTAGTGGGTCTTGCCAGGGCCTCCAGGCTGCCTGGGCCTGGGCCACTCTTGCAGCTGGGACCCTCAGCCAGGTGGGCTGTGTTTGGTTTGGTCGCTGTGTAGTGAGCAGACTGGCTGACTGGTGGGTGGCTGTGATGAGAGGTGGCAGGCCCAAGAAAGCCGAGGCAGACCTGCTCGATCACTGCCCAGGGACTGTCCCTCGGTGACAATGCCAACAGGAAGCTGGGTGACGGGGGCCACTTCTTGGCAAACATGCAGGTTCCAGAATGAGGCTAGAACCATGATTCTCAAGTTCATTGTGTGGGCCAGCCCATAAGCCCTGTGAGGCCCCGGAGCAGGGAACCTGGGCCCACAGGCTGGCAGGGTGGCCAGTGGGCCTGACTCCTTCTCTCCCAGCCTGGAACCAGGCCACCCCAGAGCAGCCGAGATGGAGACCCTGGTCTGGGAAGGCCCCTCGGTTCAGCCTCACAGCATCAAACTGGAGACAGCAAAAAGATCTGAGGGGGTTGGAAACAAAAGAGCAGTGGACATCATCAGGCATTGATTCTGAAAGAGTCTTTCTGAGCTCGGGAAATCGGAGGCAGACAACCCACAGATCCTGCAGCAGGCTGTGGGGAGAATCCAGCCGTGCTGTCTGTCCCTCCGTCTCTCCTGAGCAGCACTGTACGCTTCATATATAAATTGGGTGGTACCGTTTGTGGTTGATCTTTTTCCTACAAGTTGGGCAGGTACTAGCATTTTTAAGGGAATCACGGAGGCACTGGCTGCAGAAGACGTGGCCACATTCTGTAGAAACAATGAGACGTCCGTTCTGCACAATCTAGAAAAACATTAAAAAGGGAGGTAAGTTGACTCTGGTAACCCCTGCCCATTCCTAAGACTGGGAAGTGAGAAGAAAAGAAGGGCCGGGGGGCTGCCGCAGAAAAAGCCAGGGCCAGGGGCTCAGTTGGGCAAGTGTGTGGGGTCTCTGGGGCTTTCTCTTCCAAGAAACCGAAAGCAGGAGGTAGGGGCTACAGTCTCCCCGCAGCAGCAGCAGCTGCTCGAGAGGGCCACAAGGGGCCACAGCCACCGGAACCCTTAGGGGCTCAGTGAGGTTCAGGGCTGCCATACTGGGCACAGGGCGGGCCAGAAAACACTAGCAGCCTCTGCTTAGGGCCAGGATGGGGGGCACACGGAGCTGACGCACTCGCGTGGGGAGGTCCAGAGTAGGAGGAGCCAGCACGTTCTCCCTGGGCAGACACACATCTGTGACAACCCCTTGCTGACCTGGGTGGAACTGCAAGGAGGTATGTCAAACCCCACCCACTGCAAAGCCTTCTATCTGGTCTAATTCCTTCCCCGCTTACCTCTGAGTACCCGTCCATGCAGATCGGACAGCTGACGGTACCAGAAGGCCTGAAACCACAGGGTGTCAGTCATATCAGTGTCTCAGCAAACCAGCACTCACCATGTGGTGTAGCTGCTGCACGTAAGCAGCCCCCAGCCCCTTCGAGAGCCTCCGCCAGGCCCTCCCTGGCCTCATCTGCCCCGTGTGAGCACAGCTGCCCAGCAGACCTGCAGGGAGCCGACTGCTCTGGGGGATGCAGGAGGCCAGAGAAAGGTGAGGAGGGAGAAGAGATCGGACCAAAAGAAGAGGCTAACAACTCTGAGTCGCCCTGCCCTCACACCCCCCTATGCTCACTCAGAGCCCCCAGCCCCCACAAGCGTACGCCAGCGCCACACTGCCACCTCCGACCTCAAGAGGGTGAACCCTGGGCAAAGCTGGGCAGAGGACACTCAGCGTTTCTGGTGCTGGCAGCGGGGAACTGTGTCTGTTCTTCACTAGTGGCCCAGCCTGGTTACCACAGGAAGAGCTGAACCCCAGCTCTGCGCCAGGCTCTGACTGCTCAGGTGAGCCCCCTAGACCTAGGAGCTCACGGCATTTGCTGAGAGCCACAGTGTTTGCAACCACCCCCAACCCGCTCTCTCACTGACAACGGCTGAGTGGGCCGCTCTGTACCTGAGTCCGGCTGTGCCCTCCTCCCTGGTGCCTCTGGGTGTGTGTGGGGTCACATAGACATCTCCGTCTCTGGGCGACTCATCATCGTCACTGCTCACCACACAGCTGTCGGCGTGGTCCTGGCGGAGCCTCCTCGCATTCCTCCTGGGCCGTCTCCTTTCTAAAGTTTGAGGTGACTGTCAGGGTTGGGCCTCCCTGGTCCACTCAACCTCCTCACCAGCCCACCCTGGTGCCTCCAGTGGCCCTCGTTCCCTGCCTTGGAAAGGCCATCCAGATCCCCGGAGAAACTGCTGCTGTGCCCCACTATACCCTAAAGGTCCCCCCAAGCCTCCACAGAGGCCATGCCCCCCGTCTTCCCAGGAGAAGCCACCCCCACCCCCCCACAAGAGGGGCCTGAGCTGTGGAACATTCTAAGACTGTCAGGTCCCTCCAAACCCAGTTGGCCCCCAGGCAGGACGCAGCGCTGGAGGCTGTGTTTCCCCGGCAGCACAACACCCTCATGTCTCCCTTTGTGCCTCCTGGGCCCCTTTAGGACCCTCTGACGAGGGCTGCCAGAATCACAGCCCTCGCCACGGCCCGTCTCCGCTCAAATCCCCAGAAAAACGAGAGGAAGGCACTCACCGTCAACGATCTTTTAAAGGGAAGGAAAAAAAAAAAAAGGAAAGAGGCAATCAGTTTGACGTAAAATATTCAATTACAAAAAAATTCTCTTACACGACAAAACTGAAGCATTTCTTGCTTCACATGTGTGAGACACTACGGAACCCCTCTGTGAGGAAAGGCCCCCCGACCCCTGCTCCCACCCAGCACCTGGCAGCGGCAGACCTGCCCGCCTCTTGTGGTCAGCCAAGGGCCCCTCACCCGGTCTCTGTGCTTCACAGCCGACTGTCGGCACGGTCTCTCCCCTGAGGGACACCAAGCCCACTGTGCTTCCCCGCCACATGTGTGACGATGGAGTCTGTGTGGGCATGAGGGGGTCTGCAGAGCCTGCGAGTGTGAGCACAGACCTCAGCACACCCCAGACGGCTTCGTGACCTGGGATGGCACTTACCCTTCTCAGGGGCCACGCGGCCGCCACCTCAGTGCGTTGTCGTGAGGAGTAAAGGAGACCCGAATGCTGGGCACAAGGCCGGGGAGACGTGCTCAGTCAGTGGTGCCCGTGAGGCTCCACATGCTCTCGGTGGGAAGATTACAGGCGACACAGCTACAACTAAGGGCTGAGCCTTCACCTGGAGGAGTGGGGCTGCGGTGCTTACTACACTGTTCAAAACCACGCAGTGGGCCAAGTGTGGACCAATCGTGCAAGCGGCACAAACCAAGTACCGTCATCAATTTAATTCAGCGTACCTGAGGCCTAAAAAAACGGTAACGAGAACTTGACCAAGCCCTGGTCTGATGGCTCAGAGCTTACATTTCTCCCACAACAGTTCCAAACCAGGTCCCTTCAGCACTCTCCCTACCTGTCCATCTCAAGGCCTCCCCGGCAGCACACCTGTTCCCTCTTGGGCGTCATGTGTGATGAACTATTCTGGCAAAATGCTCTCCACGCCTCACAGGGTGACACACACAGAGGGTGAGTGTGGGGGTAGGCTGTCACTGGCAGACTCGCTATGGGTATCGAGGGGCAACTCTAGTGGAGGGAACAACGCCCCCGGCCCAGGCTCCGCTCCCCTAAAAACTAGCCGCAGTGGTGTCTACCTGAATTCAAAGACCCCTGCTTGGGCAGAGGCGGCTGCTTCCTTGCTGGCTCATGCTGAGACGTCCTGGAAGTACTGCGCCCTATGTTAGAGCCTGCTCCCCCAGACTTCTCAATGCCTGGTAAGCACATCTTCCCATGTGAAAACCCCCTTCTGCTGAAGAATAACTAGAGTGGTTTCTGTTTCCCAAACTAAATCCTGACATACAGATGACCACCAGGAAGACAGCACGTATAAAGCTCTTCACTTTGCAGACGGGAACACAATTCACCCACCTGGAGCTACTGAAGGTGCCCCCCATCCTCCCCCATGCCCGAAGTGGCTATAGAGAGTGGGGAGAGCCAGCCAACCTCAGTGGGTGGACCGCATTTACTTGAAGGAAAGCCTGGGCTGCAGAAGGAAGCTGTCCACGTGAAGTCTTGAAAAGGGATCTCAAAAGGGAGGCTATGGCCACAGTGCCAGCCCTTGGGGAAAGCCCTGGATTTGGCTGGGAGCAGAAGCAGATTCGGCTGTGGGCAGGGATGATCTGGACTCTCCAGAGCCCCAACATCACCCCACTGGCCTTTGCCAAGACGGACCACTGACTAGGTCCGCATACCTGAAGGGGGTTGAAAGATGGCTAACAGGACGATCCTGTCCCCCAACAATCAGCACGTGGGAACTGGGTCTCCACAGGCCCTCATGAGTCAGTGTGCCTCTGGGATCAGACCTGAACACTGTGCCCCTCCCACCCCACCCCTACCCCTGCCTGGAGGTGCGAGCTCTGTAGATGCAGTGCCCAGGACCTGCCTGGCACACGGTGGGTGCTCCTACATCACTGCTGTGTGAACGAAGGCCAGAGAGCCTGCCTGCTGCTGGGGAACTTAACCGCCTCCACCTTCAATAATAAAAGAGCTCAGGGTGGCCGACCGGGCCTCTGGCCTAAGGAGCAGCGTGAGCAAGGCACCACAGCCTGGGCCTCCTCTATCCATGCCCTGGGCCTTTCCGTACCCCTGTGCAACCTTCCACTTGATGGGCCTGAGACACTATCTTCATTGCCGGCACTCCCTCCACCCACAGCCACACCACATCACGTCCCAGGATCCCGAGAGGCAGGCATCGCTCCACCGCCCTGGGCTGTGGTCCTGCAGGTAGCCGCACAGTGCTTGCCTGCCACAGGAGCTGGAGGCCGGGGGAAGACTGTCAACTGAATGAGTGACCCAATGGATGCAGGTACAACACAAGCGCCAGGGCCTCTAGTTTGGCTCAGAGGCCTTTCACAGAAGCGAAAAATCAGAACAAAAAACCACCACCACCAAAATTAACCAGGCCCCTGGTCTGAACAGTTGAGCTGGTACCGTAGCAGGGTAGCCCGGGACCTGAAACTTGACTTAACCTTGCGTCTGGCTTCTCTCTCCCTACTCTGGAGAAAGCAGAGGCCAGAAAGCACTAGGAGACAAGTGAAGGTACCCTGTTCCAGAACGGCCCCTGCCTGTCCCTCCCCAAGGCAGGACCAGGCCTTCCTCCTCTCTGGGTCCTAAGCATCCTCACTGGCATCTGGAGAATGAAAGACCCGCAGCAGGTGCACTCTGGGTACTGGCGCCAGGTCGGTCACCCTGCGTCCCTTCTGAAGCACACATGAGCCTCAAACCCCAGCAAACGCTGGCAGCCACGTCACGGGGTCCTAGTCAGTAGGGCACAGAGGCCCTTCCCTTTCTAATGGACACGAAGAACACTTGGCACTCTAGGGATCTCCTGTGGCTGCAGCAGCACCTTGGGGCAGAAAGAACCTTCTGGAATCAAGTAGCAGGAATCTTGGACTCATTGTGTACGCAAGCTGATCCCCAGCATCTCTCAGGATGCACACCCACTGAGAGGACTTCAGATGACCTCCCCCTCACGGTAGTGCACGTTGTGTGACGGGAAAACAGCCGTCTCCAACTACAGCGCATACAGGGCTCCGCTTTCCATCCAGAAGGTGCACACATCACACAACGGCAGACTACAGGCAGTCCCTGGGTCACGAACCTCCAACTTATGGACAACTCGTACTTGTCCTTTAATGTTATGTAAATTTGCCTTTGCTTTGAAATGATTAAACCACTATTTGCAAGAAATTCTTCATCACAATCACCTTTATAAGCACGTGCAGCTTTTAAATCACTGAAAGGGCTTCGGAGCCTTTCCTTGCACTAAAACCAAAAACAAAACAAAACCTATTGCTGTCAAGTCAATTCTGACTCATAGCGATCCCTACAGGACAGGGCAGAACTCCCCCATAGGGTTTCCAAGGAGTGGCTGGTGGATTCGAGTTGCCGACCTTTTGGTTAGCAGCCACAGCTCGTAACCACTGTGCCACCAGGGCTTTCCTGCACTGAAGTGAGGCTAATTAAGAACTGTATGCACCTGTCTCAACTAACCTACAAATTCCTAAAGACACACTCAGGAAGGCTCACGCTGGCATTAACGTTCTAGTCAAGCAACCAATCCCCACCAACTGCATGTGCAGCTGTGCCCCGATTCTTGGGCCTAATGGCTAAGCTCGTTTCTTTACTCTATGTATCACACTGGTTCCTTCATTCTGACACTAACTGGGTGCCCATCCTACCCTTTACTACACCCAGAGAGATGGACAGGACTCTGCCCTGTCTGCAAAGAGTGCTCCATTGAACAGGTTCTTTTAAAGCAGCCTCTGAATGCCCTATCGGGCAGGAAACAGATTATAAACACAACAGCATGACTCACAAGTACACTATGGAAACAGACCAAAAAGGGTTCCAGGAAAATCAGCCTGATTTTAAAAGAAACAATCTTGAAATTCAACGAAGAAAAAAAACCCAAGCAGATACCATGTTTAACAGCCTTGTCCTCACAGACCTGGTTTTGTAGAGAGGAGGGTGTCTCCTGTCCACCATGCACTGCAGTGGGCAGAGCAGAGCCTGGCACAATAAGCAGAGATGCCCTAAACTGAAGCATGTTATCTCGATCAAGTTTCCCACTGAGAACAACAAAATTCAAGATAAAGCAGTTTTCTTTTTAAATAAAAGGTAATAAAAAAGAGGAAGGACCAAGTCAAAATTAGGAGCCTTGGTAGTGTGGTGGTTAAAGCGCTCAGCTGCTAGCCAAAAGGCTGGCAGTTCGAAACCACCAGCTGCTCCGCGGGCGAAAGATGTGGCAGTCTGCTTCTGTAAAGATTACAGCCTTGGAAACTCTACGGGGCAGTTCTACTCTGTCCTATAGGGTCGTTTATGAGTTGGAATCGACTCAATGGAAGTGTTTGCAGTGGTTTTGAGGTCACAAGTGAAAGGAAACCAATAATCCAGGGAGGTAGGACATCACAGAAGAGTCTCAAAAAACGGTAGCGTGATTTCAAAAGCCTCGCAGAAGGCAGAAACCAAAGCCCAGGCCTAAGGTAGGAGACCTGGTGGGTGAGGGGCAGGTCAACAAATTTTAAAGATATGACCTCAAACAAAATGTGTTTTCTGACCACAATGCAATGTAAAAAAATGAGCAGTAAAAAAGATAAGAAAATCCCTGTAAGTGTTATAGTTCAGAAACATACTTCTAAATAACCCATGAGTCAAAGAAGACATCAAAAGGATTTAATAAATATTTTTAATTGAACATAAAATACAACATACCAAAACTTGTTAAATGCAGCTAAAGGAGATATAATCTTAAATGCATTTATTAGAAAAAAAACGATGAAAATTAATATGTTAGAAACAGGGCTTCGAACCAGGTCAGTCATGGCCATCTTAAACAAGGGCAGCATACACACTGCATAGCAACCAAATCTGTTGCCCCTTGTACTTTGACCCGACTAGGAAATCAACAGCTGTGCCCTGCTCAAAGACGGCGGCCAATTGCACCACTCTGAATGCGTGTCACTCTCCACAGTCCTGCCAATAATCCAATCTCCTGCACCAGACTCCTGAAACATTCAAAGCAGTGC